GGGACTAGGTTCAAGAAGAAAGTTTTGAGTTTTTGGAGAAGAAAGGGGCAAGAGTCGGGCTGGCTCTCCTGAATATGGGATGTATGAAGACAGAGGTGGAAGAAATGGATTTCAAACATTTGGCTCTATGTCAGCACTGAAATCCCTTTGGACATCCCCCATGCACCAAGTGACTAAATATTGTGTGCATATTATGTGTGTGTGTGTGTGTGTGTGTGTGTGTGTGTGAGACAGTGGCCTAAAGCCAGGGCCTTTGCACTGAACTACACCCTCAGCCCTCTTTGAATTTTTTATTTTGAGACAGGATTTTGCCAAGTTGCCGAGTTCCTCAGGCTAGGCGCAAGCTTGTTATCTTCCTGCCTCCGGTTTCCAGAGTGCTGGGATTACAGGGGTGCACCACCGTGTGGTTTAGACTCAGGATTTCAAGTGGCTTTAAACCACTGTTTGTTGCCAGGCTATAGCTCAGTGGTGCAAGTGTCTGCCTGGCAAGCACAAGGTCCTAAGTTCGATTCCTGGTACCAAAAACAAAAGCACAAAGCAAAACAAAAAAAACCCTACTGTTTGTCTTGCTGTTGTTTTAATGTAACGCTGGAGGGACCAGACCTCAATATAAGAGTAAGAAGGACCATTCTTTGTGGAGTATTACAAAATCTATCAGTTGCAAGGACAGAAACACCAGTCTTAAGCAAAAGAGGAATTCTGCAGGCTCACCAGACTGGGATTTCAAGGATGGATGTAACTATGGATGGCTCTAGCAGAAAAAGATTCTGATTGGTCTGCCTAGGTCACATGCTATTCCCTGAACCAATCAATGTGGTCAAGGAAGATGGGCTGCTCTTATTGGCCAATCTGGGTAGAAGACCTTTCCTGAGGAGAGAGGATGCTGAGAAGGCAAACAGGCACATCCACTGCTGGGTGACAGTGGGGACCCCTGAGAGATCATCCATGCCAGCTTCCTCTCCAGAAAGTTTCCCTTCTTTACCCTGGAAAGATGGACACCAGATGCTGCTTGGATTGTCCCAGTAAACAGAAATCACTGATCCTTGGGGCTGATAATACTATTTATTTTTGAACAATCCTGGTTAAAAACCTTGCCCTTACATTGACCTGCCTCTTGGTCACTTCCTCTGGTCATTCATTATTTCCTTTTGGGGACTCGCAGAATGAAACAAAACCCCTCTCTCCCCACCAACCTTGAAGACAGCAAGTCTCTGGAGCCTTCCTAAGGTGCAGAGATGTTAGGCAGCTTCCTGGGGTAGGAGCACCAGCCTGGGAACGGGAAGACCCGGGCTCCAACCTCAACACAGCGGTGTGGCCGTGCTGGGAGGGAGGTACGTGCTGTTTCCATTTCACAGACGAGGATATCGAAGTAAGGGAGGTTAAAGCACTTGCCAAGGTTACACAATTCGGAATAGTGAAGCCGGAATTTGACTCCAGGACCACAGAATTCTGAAGAGCCCATTAGTCTGTGTCCTTGAGCAAGTCATATCCTTTCTCTGGGGCTCAGTTTTCTAATCTGTAATGTGGGAGCTTTAGCGTGCCTGACAATCACGTGAAGGTTTGTGAAAGCACAGACTGCGGGGACTCCTACTAGCACCCCTGGGCCATTTTGCTGGGGGCAGGGTGGAGACTGAGGATTTGCATTTGAGCCAGTTTCCAGAGGATTCTGGTGGTGATAATGCTGCCAGCCTGGGCTCCACACTTTGGTATTTGATTCCGGTTCTAATGTACTCTGCATGATGAGATGTGGAGATAATTCTGCCTTTCCATTTAGTTTGGGCCTATTCAATTGTGTGTGCGTGCATGTGCGTGTGCATGTGTGCACGTGTATGTGTGTGTGTGCATGTGTGTGTGTGCGTGTATGTGTGTGTGTGCACATGCCGGGCTAACAGAGGCTTGGCCAGCGCAGAGCTGAGGCTCAGGGTGGGCAGGATGCATACCGAATGCGGGGGTAGGTGGGGCAGCTGCTTTGGGAAACAGCTGGCTGTGCCTCAAAGACCTAAGCAGCTTATCCCATGCCCAGCAGTTCCGCATGCAGGCGTATGATTTAAAAGCACGTGCCCCCGCCAAAACCGTGTCTGAGTGTTCCGAGCAACATGATTCACATGGCCAAAAAATGGAAGTAACCGACTTCCAAGAGTGAGGAGCGGATGAGTTGTGGTCTAACGCCGCTCAGTAGTAAATAGTGACACACGCTGCACCGCGGGTGAGCTGGGAAAACCTATGCTAAGCGGACAAAGCCAGACTGAAAAGGCCATGTACTGCATGGTTTCATTTCTATGACATGTCCACAATAGATAATACTGTGAAGACGCTACCAGGATATCAGTGGTCGCCAGGGGCTTGGGGTGGGGCTGGGGGATAGGGCAGGGAGTTCCTGTGGGTATATAGATTCTTTCCTGAGTAACAAAAATATTCTTTTATTAGGTGACGGTGACGGGCGCACCACTAGGTGAATATATGAACAGCTGCACACCTTCCAGGAGTGAGTTTTACGGTGTGTGAGTTGTAGTTAAAGGGATGGTCAGCCGGAGAATGGTAGAGCTGGGATCTGAACTCAGAGTAGTGTAGCACCGTGGGTAAGGACCAGTGAGCTCCCACCATGGCTCAGCCCTGACTCCAGGCCAGCCTCTTCCTCCTTAGTTTCCGGCCTCCACCTGCCTGCAGTGGGGACATTGGTGCAGAGGACCCGGGTGCAGAGGGGCGGGAGAGGAGGTGGAGCACCAGCCTCATGGGAAACCTTTCCTGTAAGAACAGCCTGGCTCTTTCCAGAACTTCTCTCCTCCTTCCAGGCCTGGGAAGTCCCCCAAGCACTTGACATTGTCTCCCAGGTATGCTGGCTACACAGCAGGCATGTGGGGACAGACACTGCGTGTGCCAAGACCTGGCCCACGGGCCGGAGGCACTGCCAGGTGCTTCTGGGAAAGCGGAGGCCGAGCTGGAACCTGCAGCTTCGCTGCCCAGCACCTGCAGCCTGGGCCCTGCTGGCACGGGACTCCTGTGTCTCAGTGGCCTGGGTTCCTGTCTGCCAGCTTATTGCGGGCCTACTGTGTGCTTGGCCTACTGGCCTCTCCTTCCTCCCTCCCTTCCTTTTACCCCTCCTCTTGCTCTGATCACTATCTCTCATAATGATTTTTTTCAATAATGAATTTTTAATCACACAAGCAATCCACGCACACATTTTCCTTCTAATCATTCAAGCGGGCGCTGACTCCCGGCTCCCGTCTTCCCCTCCCAGCCCCGGAGTAGCTGCTGTTATGAGTCTGGGGCAGATTTTCCAAATCTTTTCCCGTGGGGCCACAGAACATGTTTGATACCGCTTGCCTCTGGGTGTGGCTTTTGTGTACATTGTGTAAACGCTATCATTGTGGTCGTAGATTTTGGGGTGCCGAGGATGGAAGCGGGGCTCCAACACATATGCTTTGCCTCTCTGCAGCTGCTTCTCGTATTTTCAGTTGGCAGACTTTTACGGAGGACTTCATTATCAGCACACGGAGACCACTTTCAAGGTCTCTCGAGGTTCCTGTGTGCTGTATTTTATTTAACTAATTCCCCACTGACTTATATTTAGAATATTTTCGGGTTTTCATCACGGCAAAGAACTCCATGATGACCCCTGGCCCTGGCCCTTGTGCTTGTCCCTCCCTGGGGCGGATAACACGGAGGTGTCGTCAGAGCGCATGCGCGTTTTACAACTTCACAGATGCGAGCACAGGGCTTTCCACTGTTGCACCAGCTGAATTCCTACCTGCAGAATACACGAGCGCATCCTATGCCGACCCAGGTTGCTGTGGGGAGGGAAGAACTCGGGAAGTGAGGCTTAGGAACTGAACATTACATCCAGCTGTAATGCTTTTTGCTGTGTGGTCTCGGGCACATCCGGACACCTCTCTGGTCCTGGCTGTCTTTACATACATGGTCTCTCTGCGCCTTTTGTTTTCCTTCTGCTTAAGAGTTTTGGTCGTGCTTGCTTCGGCAGCAGATATACTAAAATTGGAACAGTACAGGGAAGGTTAGCATGGCCCCTGCGCAAGGAAGACATGCAAATTCATGAAGCGTTCCGTATTTTTACTGAATTCCTGCCGTCTTGTATAGTGAAGCTCTGTACTGTTTCTAATGTTATTTTTCTATTACTTTTGATTCTCTTTAATTGTTTGATCAATCTTGCATCCTTACATCTAGTAATCCGGGAAACTTGGTCGAAGATAACAAGACGTAATATAACAACCATTGCTAATTCCTATCATTTTGTTTTGAAATCCTATATCGTTTTTATTGTTTTTGTGTTGTTCTGTTTTTGTTTTTGTTATTTTTTTTATTCTCTTTAAAATAAAAAAATAAATTAGGGGTAAAACATTTTGGTCATGACTTTTCTTGGGATTCTCAAAGGAGTCTGTTCTTCCTGGATCCCTGCGGGGACTGTGAAATACCTAGGTAGAGCGGGGTTCAGGAGCCTCACCCCGCCCCTCGGCGCACACCCCCCACCAACGGACACATCTGCAGCTGAGTGGTGCTCCATGAGGAGCTCATAGCAGGGGACAGGCAGATGGGCAGGGCTTTATGATGAAATTTTCTCCTTTACAAAATTTAACTTCAGAAAAAGGGAGCTGGGCGTGGTGGCACACGCGTGTAATCCCAGCACTCAGAAGGATGAGGCAGGAGGATCGTTGCGAGTTGGAGGCTAGCCTGAACTACATAGTGAGACCCTGTCTCAAAAAAACCAAATAAACGTATAAATAAATAAATATATGTGAAATGTGTTCAGCATAGAAAACTTGGGGAAAACTGTAAACAATAAGAATAAAACTAATAAAAATCCCACCCCCTAGAGAGACCCCTTGTTGGCATTTGTGGGTTTATCTTGTGTGAAGATGTGTGAAATAGGTAGAATTTTATGTACTTTTTTATTGTGTTTTGTTTTGAGACAGGGTCTCACTATGTGGTTCAGACTGGACTTGAACTCATTGTGTAGCCCAGGCTGGCCTCGAACTTACAGTGATACTCCTGCCTCAGCCTCCCAAGTGCTGGGATCACAGGTATGAATTTTATATACACTTTTGTACTATTTTTTGCTTAACATACATCATGAGCATGCCTTTTAAACCTGATTTTCAGTCTTGATTTTTTTTTTAAGGACTTCTTTCAGCCTGTACGGATTTGAGTTCCCAGGAGAAGGGGTGGATTGGTAAACTCTGAAAGGGGCAGGATGGCTCCGTGGTCCTCATCCACCTGGACCCGAACTCTAGTCCCTAACGGATGGAAGAGCCCTGCTGAAGGGAAGCCCCTCTGAGAGGTTCAAAGGGGGGCTCCGCCCACAGCTGCCTCTAGAGCCCCCGCCTCTCTCGCGGAGGCCTATGCACTAACGGCCTCTCCTAAGAGTGGACACCAGGGGACGCCACACACCGAGGGAAGGTGACTCAGGCTACGAGCTACTAGCCCAGGCGCCCGGTCTTTTTGTCCTTTTGCTGAGGTCCTCCGAGTGAGAGAGAAGAGCGCTCTCCTGCTTCCTTAACATCTGTCTTACCTGACCTGCCGCCTTTTGGGGGGGGTGCCCTCGGATATGTCTATAAGAAGCTCTGAGAATCCTAGGGACACGTGGAGGGGGTGCCCTGCTGTGTGTCTTTGGGCCGCCTGCACTACCATTCCAAGGCTTGGTTTTCCTCACCTGTCCCTCTGGAGTGATAATTCCCTGCCGTGCTTTACTGGCTGTATGCGTGCAACTTATGCAAAAGAGCGTTCCAAACCCCTTGGGTGTCTGTGGTGAGGAGATCAGCCTTCGAGGACAACAAGGAGGCGGTGAGAAGTGGTTGGATTTTGGATAATGTGTCAAAGGTGTCAAGAATGATACCAGGTACCTGTCTGGAGCCTATGGAGACTGGCGATACTTTTTATTTAGTGGGGAAGATGGAGGCATGATAAGTATTTGAGATGAATAAGTGAAGACAGAGACCAGAGTTGGGGTCATTTTCTCAGAGTCCTGGAAAGACCAATGGCCAATAGGTTGGACTGGATCAGAGGTGCAAACCAACCCAATATACAGAGTGTCATCCCTTCCTATGCCCCGGCAGACATCACTAATTCATCCTGGCACTCGGGATCTCTCTCAACCCGGAGCTCCCTCGATGGGGGCCCAGGAATGTAGTTAAGACCAGGGGCTTTCACGTCAGAGAGCTCTTGGCTGGAAAGCTAATCTTGCTACCAAATAACCTGAGACATCAGAAAAAAAACAAACAAAAAACCTGCTTCGGTTTCCTCATCTGAAAATGGAGTTAATAATAGTTTCTTTCTCATAGGGCTGTTGGAAGATTAAATGAGATCATCCAAGCACAGTGCTTAGGACAGCGCTAGCGACACCGTGATAGCTTCATTCATAAAAGCAGCAGTGATAGGAGTTGCTGAGTTGTGTTGTTGCTCTAGCTTAACATTCCCAAATTTATCCCTCTTCTTTGCCATTTCTAACTTCTCCGATATGGACCGTGCAAGGCTGGAAATGTCCAGCAGGAGGCGCTGTGGACATTCACAGTCTCTGCCTCCCACAGAGGACCGGGACCTGGCAAACGGTTTTCCATGGAACTGTGGCCTCTGATGATGCTCCCGGCAGCAGTCTGGCCCTTTCTGCCTGGTGCTGTACTCTGCCTTCGGACTCGTGCTGAACAGCAATGTCTCGGCCTCCTCACCGGGTCTGATCCTCTCCTGGTAATAGGCTCACTCCAAGCCCTTCTTTCTGGCACTGCAGGCGCCTCCGCTGTGCGTCCTGCATCTTCTCTGCCCTCGGGGGAGCTCTGCCAGAGGTCCTCTGCGGAGATGCGGGTGGGTGAGAGAAGCCCTGCAGTGTGGTCCTTAAGGCGCCCTCGCTGCACTCCCAGGAGAGCTGGAGGGACGCTGGGAAGCACAGGGCAGGCGCTCGCGGCTCACACTCCGGGTGCTAGACCCGGGCTGTGCTCCCCGCTCCTCAGGCCACGATGGAGAATCTGGCCGGGCCCCAGGGTGAAACCCGGCTCAGGCGGGGGATATAGAGAGCTCTGTCTTTCCTGTGACCGAGGACAGTGACCAAGTGCTGGATAGCGCAGTGCTTCTGGATGTGTGGGGTGAGCCCGTGAGACAGACCACAGCCACAGCCAAGCACGTGCCTCTTCTCTTTTTTTATTTTTATTTTTTTATTTTTTTTTATTTTTTTGTATTTTTTTTTTTGGTTTTGGTTTTTCTCCGGTACTGGGAACCGAACTCACGACCTTGCACTTGCCAGGCAGGCGCTTTGCTGCTGAGCTAAATCCCCAGCCCCCTCTTCTCTTTTTTTAAATGGTACCGGGGATCAAGCCCAGGGGTGCTTTGCCACTGCTGTACATCCTTGCTCCTTTTTATTTATTCTTTTAGGCCAGGGTTTCACTGAGTTGTCCGGGAGGGGTTTGAACTGGCAATCCTCCTGCTTCAGCCTCCTTTGGTACTGGATTACAAGTGTGTGGCCCCCCCCCCCCCCCGCGGCAGACAAGCATGGGACTTTTTAAATGGGCCCATCTTTTTTAAAAGGCTGTCTTTCCCCACATGGCGCATTCAGTGTGGACTCCTCCGCCCACCAAACCTTGCTATCTCTTTCTTGGTCAAATATCGTCTCTTTCCTGCCTCCCTGCATGTGCACACATGCACACACACACACACACACGCACGCTCATGTGCACTCACATCCCCTGCTGCTTAGGAGATGACCGCATGGAGAGGCCTGGCAGAGGGCCAGCATCTGGGGACACAGCCCTGGAGCCTTCCTTTCCGGCCACAGCCCTTCGCAGTAGCCCTCCCTTTTTCTTTCCCCTGCTTGGTTTGGCACCCGGAGCCGGAGAGCCCCGTCCTCAGCCTTGACCCTCCCTCACTGTGCAGGGAGCAGGCCTGGGACTTCCGGCTCGGTGAACCTCAGCCCGCCTGTGTGAGGAATCTGCAACTGTTGGTATGTGTTTGTCACGCGGAATAATGCCACCAGTAGGTCATCCACTGTCATCGTGAACAAAGAAGAAAAAGAAAATGAAAAGCAGCCTGCCGCTCGATGCCCCGGTGCCCCAAACCACAGTGACACACCTGGCGGTTTTGGGGTGAGCCCACGCTTTAGCCCGGGGACGTCACCTGAGCCAGGTGGGGTGGGTAGTGGCTCCTCTTCATGTTCACAAACACGTCTCTCTCTTCGCTTCACCTAAGAGCAGGACACGTTAGCTCTAGGGTAGAGGAGCTGGAAGTTACAGCTGTAACAAACAAGAAACCCCAGCACACGGTACCCCACCGCCCGGAGCTCACGCGGGGGCTGGGGAGGTACACAGGCCACGCGGCACCTTCGCTTACACATTGAGCTCGCTCTATACGTCTCATTTGATGTCTTGCCTCTTAGTTTTCTTTCCTTCTTTCTTCCCTTCCTCCCTTCCCTCTCTCCTTCCTCTCTCCCTCTCTCCCTTTAAGGTGCTGGGATCTAACCCAGGGCCCTCATGCATGCCAAGCACATGCTCCACTCTATGCTGAGCTGCATCTGAGCCCCTATAACCTGTCTTTTATTGCTGGTTTGTTTTATTACTAGGGATTGAACCCAGGGCCTTTGGACTGAGCTACATCCCTGACGCTATTTTATGTTCATTTGTGACAGGTCTTGCTAAGTTGCCCAGACTGGGCTTGTGATCCCCCTGCCTCAGCTTCCCAGAGTTGGGGATTACAGGTGTACACTACCAGGTCTAGCTGTAATCTACCTTTAAAAAAAAAAAAAAGAAATCAAACAATAGCAGGGTGTAGTGGCACACACCTGTCAGCACTCTGGGAAGGTTCGGGCAGAAGGATCAAAATTCAAGCCTAGCCTGGATAACTTTGCAATTTAGTGAGATCCTGCCTCAAAATAAAAAATTAAAAAAAAAAAAAAAAAAAAAGAGACTGGGTATATAGCTCGGTGAGAAGGTCCTGGATTCAACCTCTAGTACTGAAAAAAGAATTGGAATAAAAGTTTCACAAAGTAGCTGGGGATATAGCTCAGCAGTGTAGTACCTGCCTGGCAAGCCCAAGATCATGAGCTTGATTTCCAGTACAAAAAAAAAAAGTTTCACAAAATAAAACCACATCCAGATCATGTCCTTTCTACGTGAGAGGTTTTCTAGTCAATTAAAATTTCCGGCTGCAGCCACCGTTTGGCTTTCAAGACTAAGGGTGGGCTGTGTCCTGAAGTTTTTGGGGGGAAACAATGCTCCTGCCCCTTCCTCCGAGCCCCAGAGAGTCCCGCCTTGTGCGGTGCGGGAGACAGAAGCCAGGGCCTCCAGCATGCTAAGCATGCACTGCACCCCCAGCTCAGAGAGAGCCCTGTCTAGGTCCAATGTCTTTTTCATTTGACCCTAGATATTAGCCAGCTGTGACCCTATTTCAAAGGTCGGAGGTACAGAGAATAAGCTCTAGAAACAGGCTTCGAGCAAGCCTGGGCCCAGCTGGCCTTCTGCAAAGGGACTTTGGCTCAGCCCCTGTCCTTTCAATAGCGACCCTTTTGGTGCACCTACGCTTTGCAGGGTGTCACAGTCCTCTCAGCACCCAGACCACGGAGAGGTAGAAGCCCCTGTGACAGAGGAGGCAGCTGAGGCTCAGAGAGGTGCAGCGACTTCACCAAGGACACACAGTCTATGAGAAGCCAAGTCTGGTTGGGTCTCAGCTGTTTGCAGCACCAGGCTCAGGCCCTGAAATGCAGCAGGCACTCAGTAAACACTTCGGTCTGGCGGGCTCCGCGGCCCCCACCACCGCTCTGGGGCTGCACGGGGGCGGGGACGTTAGCCCGGTTGCTGGAGGCACGGCGCTGGGCGGGGCAGGCTCAGGGGAGTTGGAGGCTTGCTGGGGTTCTACCCGCCGCGAGGGTCCCCCGGGTGAGCACCCTGCTCAGTTTCGGTCCCAGGTCCCAGCACGCACGCCAGCCCTGCCCTGTCAGCTGCGAGCGAGGGAGGGGTCCAGACCGCTCCGGGCGGGGCGGGGCGGAGCGGTGGCCAGCGCCTGTGCTCTCGGCCTCGCCCGGCTCCTGCCGCTCCCCCGTGCTCCTCCCAGGCCCAGCGTGGGGCTGTCGGGGCCTGAGGAAGACTGGGCTTACCTCCGGCCGGGTCAGGCTCCCGCTCTTGGGGCTCCCTCCCTCCAGCCCTATGGGCCAGACTGCCACCTCTTTCAGTGGGGGAAGTGGTCACAGGTGACACGGCTGGGTCTCAGGTTTAACTCCGCGCCGAGCGAACAGATGCCCCACCTGGGCTGTGCGTGCCCTCCAGGGCCCACCCCAGAGGAAGGAAAGAGGGCAGCAAGCCCTGAGCAGCAAAGCAAGCGCCTGCCCGGCCCTCCCTAGCAGGAAGCCCAGGGCTGACTCGGGATGGTTCTAGAAGGGAGCGGGGAGGGGAGTGTGCTAAGAGCCCGGCAGAAAGCCAACAGCTGGCCTTGACAGGGCTTCACATGGTGTAGCAGGTGCCAAGTGTCGCAGGGGTGTGGCATTGGCACCTCACCCTCCTCTGTGCCGTGGGCCCCACGGTCCCTCCCCGCCCCCGGAAGCCTCCGGTGGATCCCGCCCACCCTGCCTGGCCTCTCTTTGCATCCTCCGCTGGGGTGGAAGTGAGACAAGACCCGGCCCGGTGTGCCCTCTCTGGCATAAGTTCATGCGGCACAGAAGGGCTGTTCCATGCCAGGCTCAGAAGGCGGATCCCCTTAGGAAACGACCCTCGGAACCCGTCTGGAGAGCACACACACAGCCCGGCTATGTGAGGGTCCTGGCCTGGTTCGGCCTAGGAACAGATATTTCCGAAGTAATTTCTACAGGATGTCATCGACGTTCACCTTGGCACTTAGCACGAGGGAGTTCTGTGACCAAGTGGGTTTGGGACCACAGGATTTAGAGCTTAAGGGATGCAAATCCAATTTCCCTACCGCAGGCCTTTTCAGAGCCTTGAGCTCTGAGCATGTGGTGAGTCTCCGGGCATCTGCAGGCCCCACATTTATTTGACCTCAGGATGGTTTTTATACCGGGACATTTCACTGTTGGCCTCCAGGGCTACAATGCACCCTTTGAAAAATGCTAAGTGGGATACAAGCACTCTGGAAAGAGAAGACCCAGTTTAGTAATGATTGTTAACAATACAACATACTTCCTTGGATGGAGGGCCTACTCTGTGACTGACTGGACATGCTAGATATCAGCATAGGCTCAAAACGATTCTTGAGATGAGTGTTACTGTAGAAGGAAGGAGGAACTCTGGGTGAGTTAGCACATACCTATAATCAAAGTTCTCAGGAGGCTGAGGCAGGAGCACTGCAAATTCAAGGCCAGCCTGGGCAGGTTAGTGAGACCTTGTCTCAAAAAAAAAAAAAAAAAAAAAAGAAAAAGAAAAATCATAAAGGACTGACAGGAGGATGCAGCTCAGTTTAAGACTTGGATTCAATCCCCAGTACAAAAACAAAAACGAAACTCCTAGAAGGCAGGAAGAATATGTGGGAAATTTAGGCAAGTTAAATTACCTAATGACCTGGGTGGTACTCACAATGGTACCAAGCCGAAGGGCTCAGGCAAGGACCCTGCATTAGACATCAGGCTGTCCTGAGGTGGCCGGGAACCCCAGGCGCTGACCCTTTCTCCCTGGGTTATGGGGAGGTCTGGACATGACCAGGGGCTTGGGGGTTGGGGACACCAATCCTGGGGTGTGCAGGAGGCTGGGGAGAGATCCTTGAAGGCAGAGGATGCAGGCTGTGTATCAAGCCCTCTGAGAAGGTTTCAGGATTTTGCTGGCTTTGCAGTTGCCCAGGTGCTGAGCCAGGTCCCTACAGAACCACAATAATTCCTTTCTGCCCACCAGCTGGAAGTGGAATGCTGGGTGTTGCCCAGGGTCACATTTTGGGTTCATTTGCGCCCCGAGAAACAGGTTAAAGGTTAAAATGTGAACTCGGAAATCAGATCCCAGTTCAGATTCCAATGCAGACTCTTTCCAGCCTCCAGGAAAACTCCTCGCCTTCTATGAGCCTCAGTTTCCTCATCTGTAAAATAGGGACAGGCATGGTGCTCACTGCACAGGGTTCTGTGAGGGTCACACCAGACCAGAACTGTAAGCTCTGCACCTGGCCCGTGGTAATTGCCTTAGAACTGAGCTGTCTCTTCATAAGGGGTGTCTGTGTTTATTGTCAACAAAACCTCGGGCTATTTTCAACCTTCCTCTGAGAACACAGTACAGGATTGAGATTTATCATCTGCTGAATCCATTTTTTCCCCTGGATATCATCAGACATTAATTAGAATAATGAACTGGAATGGATTGTGAGAAATAAAACCGCAGGTAGCTTCAAGTTATTTTGAGACAGGCTCTTGCTAAATTGCCCAGATAGGACTCAAAGTGGCGATGCCCCTGCCTCAGCCTCCTGACTACATAGCTGGGACGACAGGCATGCGCTGCTGTGCCCGGCTATTTCATTATTTTATTTTTCTTGCAGGGCCGGGGATTGAGCCCAGGCCCTTGCGCATGCAAGCAAGCACTCTGTCACTGAGCTACACCCCGGCTCCTCTGCCGGCTGTTTCTACAGGACGGCGATAGTGAACCCTTCAGAGCTTTCGCTGATACAAACAGCCCGCGGCGCTTGTCCTGCCCTCGGCCTGTTTGACTCCAGTTTGTCTTTTACTTCCTGGGCCCAATGGTGTGTCCCCCACGGCTCAGCCCAGACTCTCAGAGGGTGCGTCTGTGTCCTCACCATCCTCCTTGAAGTCCAGGGCCACTCCCGTGGGACTCCAGGCCCTAGACACTCAGGAAAGATTTGCTGATTTTTTTCTCTTTGGACTGCATACTCATTCACAAAATCCTGGTGCGCCTAGCATGTCCTTGTTTGAGCTCCCTGCAACCCCGCAAAATGATCAGGGCCTGGGGTGCTGTGGCCATTTTACAGAGGAGGAAACTGAGCATCCCTCGGCAGCCCTGATGGCCACGGCACGGGACTCGAACCCAGACCCTCAACAACTCCTCTGCCAGCGCTGCCACATCTGTGCTCACCTGGGCTCTGAGACAGCGAGAGGGCCGTCGGGGCCTTGGGGTGAGGCTTGCCTCCGTGTACACACGAGAGGACCAGCGCACAGGAGTGCCACAGCGTGCTCCTGGCGACCCCTCACAGTGTATTCATGAAGCTGGCAAACAAGATGCGGAGTACCTGCTGTGTGAGGCCACTGTCCCCAGTGCTAAAACACAGCCGTGCATGGGGGACCCAGTCCTTGGCCTCCTCCCGCTGCCGCTCCTCAGGGGAGAGATAGAACATAGACTCAGCCATTTCAGAATGAGGCATGTGTCATGAAAACGCCTTTCTAAGAAAGAAGAAGGATCAGGGAATGACTGAGCACAGTGGTCAGGGGAGGCCTCTGGGAGGGCGACATTGAAGCTACAACGTGGATAATGGGAAAGAGGGAGCTATAGGAAGTTCTGGGGGGAGAGCATTCCAGAGATAGGAAATGATGAGTGCAGAAGGCACAGGCAGAAGCTCAAGTGCCTAGGGCATCATGAGCAAGGCTGGCAGGGGAAAGGTGGGCAAGGGCCTGAGCAGAGAGCAGCTTGAGACCCTGGTGAGAAGAGTAGCTTTTTTCCCTGATGCGACAGGAAGCCAGGGGAAAGTTCTGAGCAGTGCAGTCCTACGATCTGACTCACATTCTTGAGACGCTGCTCCGGAGGCTGTGTGCAGAAGGACAGTGTGGGGCAAGGGTGTACTGGAGACGTGGGCAGGGCTGGCGGCAGGGTGAGAAGCAGGTAAACACGGGGTGCATCTGGACGTAGCCCCAGGAGCTGTGGAGGGACAGGATGCGGGGCCAACAGAAAGCAGGGGGAGCGGGGTGGCTTCTGGGTTGGAGTCTGCAGCGCTGGCTGGGATGGGAGGCTGGCGGGGGTGCGGGGCGACAGGTGGGCAGGCGGCACAGGGCCCAGGCTGGTGAGCAGACCCAGGCAGCCCGGCCGCTGCGGATCAGCGGCCTGGAAAGGGGCCGGGATGCCCATCTCGATGCCCTTTCCGCCCTTCTTGCGCTCCCGGGGCAGGCAGCGCAAGGGGACCGTGGGTGTGTGGAGCCCTGGCCCTGTTCCCTCCCGCCCGGCTCGGTTCCCCAGCGGACAGCCCGGGCCTCCTAGGCTTCTGCGGCAAAACAAACACAGGGGCAAAGAAAAGCACCTTGTGAAGCAGCACCAGCCCCGAGGAGAACTGTCTCGGTCTTTCCTTCACTTTCACAACTGCCCTCAGGCCCAGAACATATCCTGCGGCTTCTTTGTTGGCTCCCCCCACCCCCGCATGGCCACCCCAACCCTCAGTCCCAGCGGGCTGATCTCCCAGCCGCCCCCCTCTGCCCTCCCGCACAGCCCCCGGCCTCCAGCCGCTCCCTCCTGCTGAGTGATGGCGAACAGGGCTCTGGGCTGGCCAGCGGAGACCGGACTCCCCCCGGCCCCCGCGGGCTGTGTGACCTGGGGCGACTTCTGCACTCTCTGTGCCTCAGTCTCCTAAGCTGTAAGCTGGGGGTGACCGAGGTGCTACCTGACAGGCCCGTCGGGAACGAACTGAAGCCCAGGGTGATGCCTGACAGGCGCTAGGTGCTCCAGAAGGAAAGCAGTGCTGGCGTTTGCCTGGCTTGGTGGAGACAAACACACAGGCCGGCTGCGCCTCGGCCTGACTTTAAGTACCAGTTCCAGCCCCAGCACTCAGCTCCCGGGGCTTCGGGCCTCTGTCTACCCAGAGATCACCCGCAGCGGGTCTGGGGCTGTGGGCACTGACCGCTGAGAGAACCATGTGCTTCCTTAGCAGCTGCCAAAACCCAGCCTGGGCCCTGGTCCTCTCAGTGCTGAGTGACTGCAGACCTTTCCCTCAGGCCCGTGGTGATGAGGCCCAAACCCTGCGTCATGGCCTGACTTCCTTGGCTTTAGGCTTTGCCCTGATTAAAACAGAGAGAGCTCAGGAGGGGTCTTGGTCTGGCCTCCCATCACCCACCAGCAGGTCAGTCCGCTCAGCCATCACTCCCTTCCCCCGGGCTCAGAACCTCAAGGGCTCCTGTTGCTGGCTGAAGGGAGTCCAGACTCCTCAACCCGGCAGGCAGCCCTGTTGGCATCTGGTCCCAGCCCGTGTCTGCGGCACATGCTCCATGGAGCCCTGGGTCAGCCTGGGCTTCCTCCCACCCACAGTCTGGGCTGTCTGGCTCCAGTGCCTTTGCATAGCCCCCAGCCCAGTCCCACATTCACTGTTCTTGGCCTCATTCAGATGGTCCATGCCAGGGTTTCTCAGCCTTGGTGTGCCTGCTGGGGAGGCTGTTCACACAGTGGAGGGTGTTTGGTAGCATCCCTTGCCTCTGTCCACCAGAAGAAACCAGTAACCCCTCTCTAGCTGTG